GTAGGATCAAATCCTGGTGAGAATGAGATCCCTTCAGACGCTCAGAGGCGACATCGGCCAGTTGCTGGTGCTTACCGCTATACGGCGCAGTGGCATAATAAATGCTTGGTGTAACCGTCATCTAACTCCACATCCGGATCTGCGGCGGCTTGCATCTCGTCTGGCCGCGCGACCTAGACACACAAGTTGTTAGGCGTAAATAACGAATAATCAGCCAATAGCCAAAGTCCGGTGCGCCAAAAGCCCGCTGGAATAAGCAACAATTGTGCGTAGAGGACGATTGATTTGGAGGGATGAGCCATTATCCAGTCGGATCTTTCTTTTCGGGGCCGATTTCGTTGTCAGTTTTTGGAACACAGACAACATCAATCAAACAGGCCGGTAATAGCGATGAGTTGCCAGCACATGGATCAGACTCCACCGATAGCAGGAGCAAGCAAAGGAACTGGGTTGTTGTTGCGGGGTTGCTGGCGCCCGCTCAGTACATCCATTGACCTGTGGATCAGAGGAGACGCAATTGCAAAATTGCAAGATCTGTCGAGTCTCAAGGCCGACTTGACCCTTGCGCTGTCAGAGTCCCCAGGTTCATCCGAAACATGACATGATCGACGTTGTAAGGCCTCGTTTGGTGAAGATCTGACCAGAACTGGCCAGAGTGAAAGCCCGTGCGAGATTCTGGCTGTCAATGGTATCGACCTGTCTCTTTCCGAAAGCAGGCATTCGATGGACAAGGGCTGGAGGGGAATTGCAGTCCACTGAAATTTAGCGTTGAGCTTGTTTACTTTGCTCGAAGAAATCCTTAGAAATGTTTCGCAACCAGGCACCCCTTCTTTCTTTAGTTGACGGACCGGTAGACTGGTGTCTCAGTTAATCAAGATGCGTTGTCGGACACAATGGAATAGGTAGGCCCTGTTGGTTGCCGGCTTTATAGATTGGCTGCGAGAGTCCAAATACGGAAATCCATGCTGTCTGTCTTTGGGCGACTGGGCATTGTCTTGAAACAACTTTGCGCGCGCTAGAATTGGCAGTCTTTGGATCTTTGGATGCCTGATATCCGCACTCAACCCCACGTATTGACGCCACGCTCGAACTTTGAGGGCTGATGCTTCAGAACAGCTCTAGCGTTGCTTAGAAAGGGACGGAAACACATCTCGGGAGGCCACGTCGCAGCCCATAACTCCGAGTGTGATGTCATCTCTTATTGACATGTTTCCGGCAAGGACCCGAGAGTTCCAAACTCTGAAGTGGCAGCTTATCAAGGAAGTGTTCGACAGGAAGGGTTCCGTTTTATTGGAAATGCGAAGACCACGCCTGACGCCGACTTGTTTCCTTTGGCCGTGGCTGACATCTCTCAGCTCTGCTCGAATCGAGGATCACTTCCTTTTGGGGAGGGCTATTGCTCCTTTTGTGGTGTATGAGAACGACATGCTAATCGGCAACGGTCGCTATGACTGATTTGGTCACCCAACGTCCAGGCGTTAGGTTCTTGATGTCTTATTAGAGCCGTGGACCGTACTAATCTTTACGCCACGAGTGGGGGATTTCCCCCAACCTCACCGTTCGGATGATGCTGACCCAACTCCGGTACTTGGGGACCAATCAATGCTTGTATACCGAAAGCGCGATAGGGTCGCAAGGAACGGTGAAGGACAACGCGATTTTTTATATAACGGACAGGGATGTCATCATATAAGATTTGCCGAGTTTACTGGCTGTCTCGCTTCTCGGGAGATGTCCGCGGGGCAATGGCACAAGACACTATTGAGGGCGATCCTCGCCGTATGTAGATGCCGGACCGCTGTCATCTTCAGCCTCACTTGCCCCAATTCTCCGATGTCTCTTTGGGTAGAGTGGGAAAAGGGACAGCTTGATTGAGGGCAAGGAAGAGAAGCAAGCTAGGCCACCGCTTTGCAAGTTTCTGCGTCCTGTCTTCGTTGGTGTCAACTCTCGACATCATTTGGCATGCAAGCCGTCCAGTTCAGGTGCACGGTTCCAGGGATAACGGTTACCAAATTCGACACCTCGCGATATGGGGAGTATGTTCTGTACTTTGTCACATCCTGTGCCATTGAAGAATTGAAGTGGACATTACTCAATCCTGGGGTATGGCGACAGTATGCTGGCTGAACGATCGACGCAATCGGCCGCCCGTTGGCGAGCTATTGCCGTTCTGGGTTCTAATGGCTGCTGTGGCATTGTGACGTCGCACGGAGTCTGCAGACGCGGCTTGCAAAGAGCAGGGAAGTGCGCTGAGAGATCAACGGTGTCGAGGTCTCGGGTACGGTTGCTGTCTTCGCACTCGTTTGTTCGTCTTAGACACCGGATCTTTCGATTGACGATTAGCGATTGACGGTTGGGCTTTGATCTGGTACAGTAAGATCAAACAGCCTGTTGAGAGCAGTGTGTCTCACTGCCTCGAACCATGGTGGAGTTATCGTCTTGGTCAGAGACATGAAGAGACATCTCGGCACATGGTTATCGTCGATCCGGCATCCGAATGTGGGCCTTGGTGTGCTATGTGGCCTTGGGTTTTGGGCGTTACTGCAATAATCTTGGCAGCGAACCGGCTGCTTCAGTTGGTCGTGAGTATTCAGGACGACAGGCGTCCAATGAGTGGTGGACAAGGTCGACGAGCGACCCAAGATTCCCAACGGAGGTCCGAGAAAAGACAGGGGCCTCGAGATTGTGCATTAGGTCGAAGAGGTTGCGTAAGTAGCCATTTGGCTGGCTTGACGCAACATAAGATCCTGACGCTGCAAAAACGAAAGTACAAGACGGAAGAGGAAGAGGTTGCAGCTAAGCAGTTGGCACGTAATCCTCGTCGGAGGCGCTGAGAAGAGTACTTGGCAGGTGAATCGGCCGTGAGTTGGCTCTGTGTGCCCGGGTGCAGGCGTAGGCAGAAGCTGAGGGAAGTGGGATGCCGTGCGGTGCAATGCAAGGCGGGCTCAAGCTGATGCTCGTGCTGATGATGGAGGCGGCAATGCTATTGATGGTGAAGCCGTTGGTGTTTGCCAATGGATGGCACTGATGGTGATTGATGGTGGTTCTGAGAGGCGATGAGGGGAGCGTGTTGCTGCGTGTTGCACGGGTACAGGATGGTGCAGTTCCTGGGACGACGGCAGCAGTTTGTGTTTCGAAACATGGGATTCTAGAAATCGGGGGGAAGAACGACAGACGATGTTGGAGCAACAGTGATGGGAGCCAAAGGATGCCGAGTCGATCGAGGGTAGGTTGATTTACGATGTCAGGTTGCAGTGCCGTCGTGTCGGAGCCCGGGTGTGACGGGAGAGAAGGAAAAGGCAACCTCAGTCCCAAGAGCAAGGGACGTGGTCGGAGCCAAAGGAGCGCAAAGGGAGGCCTTGCGCGAGCGCACCTTACCGGAAATGGAATCGACCAAGAAAGGAGAGGAAGTTACGGTACGGTAGCGACTGCCTTAGTCTTCAGGGAAATTCACATTAAGGGAGGAAGGCACAGAGGTGAGCGAGCCACGAGCGTGATGGGGACAGAACGTAGGACGTGCCTGCCCTGAGCTGGGAGATGTGGGGTCAGTCCCCAGGACTACTCCTCCTCCTTAAGGCAAGTCCAGGCCATTTGAGGGAACGGAAAGCACCGCCGTCGTGTGGTGTTCCCTGCCGTTCCTGCCGTCCCCATCGCCCCGCCTCCTTCCTTGTGCACCGTCTTTTCCCACGGCCTCGGTGCGCTTCCGTGCCGTGTCAAGTGGGTCTCGGCCATTTTCTCTCTGCAGCTGGGGTGATTCCTAAGGTAACTCACATCAAGGTAAAGTGACTTGTACATGATCTTGCCTTCCATTGAGAGAAGCTACCTCGCCTGCGACACCTTACTCGGCTGAGCTTCTATTTTTTTTCCCCACCGTCTCTCAGGCATCTCGACATGTGCCCAAGGCATCAGCTCTGTGCTGTGCATGTCCTGAGATCAGCTAGAAAGAATCACCATGCATGCCTTGGGTCCCAAATTCGTGCTGGGGCAAGAGCGATCCGTACCTACGTTAGGCAGATACTGGGATGCTCCGCTTCCTTGCTTCCTTTGCCTCCGACTTGGCCACGCAATACAATCCAGAGGATCCGATTCTGACTCGCTTGTGTCGTGGATGGCTTACCCAGCATACCAAGGCCACTTTGACCACCACAGAACAAGACTAGAAACCGGCAAACTCACCTCATAACTTCTGTCACACCAAAGTCTAGAAGCGGCTCTTGGGGGCCTAGGACCTCTTTTGTCCGTACCTTGTTCTTTCCGCGGATAAGGTAAGGCAAGGCAAAGGTAAGGTAGCCGAGGTGCTCTGAGCTCTGTGCGAGGGTCCCGGGCCACTGGCCAGCAGTTTGACTGATGCAGTACGCTGCGAGAGTTTCGGCAGGCGTCAACGTGTCGTTTGCCTCCTCCTGTTCGTCTCAGGAACTGCGGGAATTGCGTGTTCCCGTCAATCGTCGTGGTGAGACGCTGGAAACTATGCGGCGCCTTGGGCGCCGCGGCGAAGGCGGCCTCTGCTCGGCGACACTTCAGCCACCTTGGCTGACAGGAGGGGGACAGCCATCAATGCTGTCGAAGGAGCAGTGGTTCAGAATCGCTGCTACATCCGAATCATGTTGGGTTCGAGTGGATGAGAGAAGCGGGATAGCGCCATGAAGAAAACTAACCTGCCCAGAGGGCCTCGGGGTGATGGGAAAACTTAGGAACATAGTCTCAAAGAGGAAAGCAGAACGTGAAAACGCGATGCGCCTTGGCTTCAAGTGGCTTCGGACTACAACGGCCACAGCTATCATGGATAAGACGAGGTTTGAGAAAGAAAAGTTGAAGATGGATGACGAGCACACTTCATATCGGAAAGCGGAGAAGAGGGCATTCAACCAAACTCTTTTTGCAAGATGCCCACAGGATACGAAGAAATCTGAATCACGATAACGGGCCGTAAGATTGGCAGTTCGCCAAGCGTGGACGCCACTTGGTGGGCGAGCTCCCCGTCTGTGATCATATACTGCTATCCGAAGCTTCGAAGTCTTTGCTTTATCTCGGCCAATGTTCCGGTACTTTGCATCCAACACGAATGGGACCGTTGCTAGTCAACCTCCCCTGCGATGTCTCTCCATGGGCCTCGTATTTGTCCAAGTACGTATATGCCTTGCTAGTCAACTGAAGAAAGCAGCCTATGCACACAAATCGTGCATCTTGTACACAAAAGGTTATGCCATGGGAATATGTGGACATTGTGTGTTAGAACCTCCTGACAAGTTGTCATGGTTTTGGATCTGAATCCGAATCTGAATCTGGAGCAAAACACAAGACACAAGACAGGAAACAAACGCTTTGTCTGCAACCCGTGGCTTTGCTGGAGCCAGTTATACTTTATTTTATCTGTCACGAAGACGGAAAAGAAAAGGAAATAGCATCTGGCGGTTGTTCTTAGGTACCATAGTCTCTGATCCGCACCCAAGGAGGCTACATGCACCTTGGATACATGTGCATCAAGAGTAAGAAGCGCGCATGTTGCTTACTTTGAAAACTGGCAGCATGTTTGGGCACCGTCTTGCCAGGACGACATGAGGTATGGCTATCAGCACGGTGTCTGGAGTATGCATGTCACGCAATGTTCCATGGAGTCATGTTGAGAGCGTTACCATGTAGTGAACTTTGCTTCAAGATTCCATACAATAAAGGTAGTTCTTATGCCCATGTATCTGAAATCAAAGACTAAATCAGTGTACCTAAACAGGGTGAGCAAGTCTCGGTCAGGTATTAGCAAGAGACGAAGATTCGGAAGGGAAAGGCAAGGGCAGGGAAACCTTGAACACACCACGGAAGCCGCCCAGCTGCTGGTTACGTGCCTCTCTGTGTGAGGTCCGAGCTTCTTCCCGCAGGACGAGGCAAGATACGTACTCGATAAAAGGAAGCAGGGGGGCAAGGGCGAGGGGAGGAGATCTCACCCCATCCGCACCGTTTACTCAGGGATTCCCTGTCTTAATTGATTGCAGGGGTCTTCATATCCCCCTGCTCGTGTCGTGCATGGTTAGGCTCGTGGCCCCACCCTTTCTTTACCCTCGCCTTTTTTTTTTTTTTTTTTTTTTTTTTTTGGAGAACCGGGGACGAGGGCAAGGTATGGATGGGAAGTTGTGAAGAATACTTGAGAAAGGCAGCGAACAGTAACCTGGACCACCTAAGCAAGGTGAAGGTAGGCCACTGACCAAGGTAGAGGCAGTGGAATCTCTAAGGCAAGCGAGATATCGCGATGCTGCATGAGGCATGAGGCAAGTGGCACATTTACAGGATGTGTGGGCCAATATGAAGACGCTATCGGCGACTTAATGAGGGCGCATTGCAGCTGAACAGGCTGCAGAATTACGGTGATCCCACGAAACAGTGAGAGACAGGTAGGAGGAAGAGGAGGAGGATGTCGTAGTCGAATCACATGGCTATGGAGAATGGTAGATACGGAGAGATTTCCTCGAAAAAAGGCGCCGAAGAATACCAGCTAAGCACCTCAAGCAAGGTGAAGTGGATGTGTTTCTGGGTCTTATCGGTTGGGTGCCTCCTCCTTTTCCTCACGTTACACATTCATTGTTCCGTACCCAGGCCATCATGTGTGTGGGTATCATCACAAAGACAACGATTGATGAAGAACAAACATCCGTAAGGTAGGGATACCTCATTACCATGAGGTAAGGAAGGTAAGCGACCTGATACTTGCTTCTGAAAGGAAGATCAACGGAAGGCCTGTCATGCCTGGGGGATAAGATACATGTACGGAGTAAGGTAGAGAGAGAAAGAGAAAGGCGCAGAGAAACGGTACTTGACACGAGGTACACGTTGGAACCGTCATCTTACCTAAGCCCACCGCTAACGTCCAATCATCTACCGTCGCCCGAAGTACCGTTCGCTGTTGTCATCTTTTTGCCCAGGCAAGGCCCCAAGGCGGCAAGGCCTCCCCTCTGGGCGCGGTTCACTTTCCCATCACCCCATTCGCCCTCCTGGAAAAGGTACTTGGTCTTTTTCCACCTCACTCTCTCTCTCCCCTCCACTGGAAGTATGGGACTTCACACATCCGAATCTGACTCTGACATGCCACTTCACCTCAATTGCCCTCCGCCTTTCGTTTTTTTTCCCTTCCCTTTTCTTTCTTAATTGTGTTTTTGATTTTACCCCAGAGACAGACATGGATTGCTCTTAGCTCCTTTTCCGCCTCTCCACCTCCACCTCCAACTCCCCGGCATCATCATCTCTCGCCCGTACCCGCGGCCCCCGTGTCAACCGTGTCTTTCAACTTTGCAGTCCGTCCCTCGCTACCAAGTTCCCCCTTGTCCATCGTATTTCCAAGCTCGTCCTCCCGCTCGCCCTTCTTCTTCGTCGTTTTCGCACACACATTCGTCCTCGGACCATTGCCTGGTCTGTTCCAACCGGCCGAGCCAATCAGCCCCAACGTGCGAGCACATCCGCCCGTCGGTTGCCCGGCATACCTCCCTACGGATAGGCCCAAAGGAAAGTATCCCATCCCTCTTTTGTTGATCAAGGTACCTTACAATCCCGTCTTTTCGAGCCTTCGATTCTTCTCCCCGAAGCAACGTCCTCCCCTATCATACGGCCTACCCTAATCCCTGCACATGGCTTCTTGTTCCTATCTCAGTTCCACTGTCCACTCCACCAGCTTGGTTCGGACCTGGGTCTGATCGAGCTGGCCGGATACCTGACTGCCCACAGATACGCCTGGGCCCTTCTGGCCTTGCCCTGCCTTACCTCAACTCACCTTGCCTCGCCTTGCTTTGCCTCACTGTAGAATCTTACCGTAACGTTCTATCTTCCGTGCTTGCAGAACTTCACCTTCCACAAGGCACTTGGAAACCTCAGTGTACTTTGTCCATACCAAGTATGAATACCGTGTGTAGACATGGCATGCTGAGCATAATCCACAGTAAGGTAGCCAGCGTCATCACCCTCTACTCCCACTTCCTTGTCCCGGTTGCTGTTTCTGACCATTTTGCTTTTTACTACACCAACTTGGAACGAACCGTTTACTACCGTCCCACCTCTTTGCCTTATCCAAGGGCAGGGTATCCTGTCCTTGACCGGGCCCCAGCTCAAGCTCACCAAGCTCTAGATTCAGCACACACCACCACCATCACGGCAACCATCATGACCCTCATCAGCATCAGCCTTCACAACACAACACCAGAGCACAGCGCAGTTTCTGGGATATGCTTTTCAGCACAAACCAACAGATGCCGTCTCCTTCAATCCACCCTGCCTTCTGCCTTTTCATTTTCCTAGTTGTCTGCCCACCAAGTGGATGGATGGTCATGGTGCCCCCCGTCATCCGTCCACTCAACCCTTGAAGTAAAGAAATCAGGGTCTCATTATGGGGAACTCCATATGAATTGATTGCCGGCAGCACTTGCGTTGTCTCCAGAGTTCCGTGGGGAAGCTGGGGAAGCTGGAAATGGCAACGCCCAACGTCTATCACCAGTCATGTAGGTAGAATATCCATCTGAATGGCTTCGATAGCTGCTCCCCTCTCTTCCCACATTGGCCCAAAGGGGTGCCACCTACGTTGTCTGCATGCCCAGACGAGGCTTTATCAGACCCAAACCGTCCAAGCCTATGCTTCGAATTGGTCTGTTTTGGTTCTTTCTGTTGTCTTTCGCTCTGCACCTCGCTGCCGGCTAGCTGCCGAGTACTCAACCTCCCCGGTCAGTTTATTTTGTCCAAGCGGTCGAGCGAGCTCTGGCTTGCTCAGGAGAGACTTATCCAATGCCCTTTGCACTTGAAGCCCAAGGGTCTTTGCGTGCGAGTGAGCCAACCTACCCATGTCCACAGCAATGGACGAGTCCAACGTACCAACTGGGCGTTTACATGGGCCGTTTTCTTTTTCCCTCAGACTGCCTCTCCGTCTACTTTCATTCTCACACTCACACTAGCAACCATAATACGTACAGGTATGGGGTACCTCCCGGGGTCACCTTATGCTCAGCCAGTCTCTCACCTCTTATGATTGTGTCTCTCTCTGCCTTCTCTGTCTCCCTCCAGGGTGGGTAATCAAAAGTCGACCAAGGTCGGTCAACTTTTGAACCAATTTGTCCACGCCCTCTTTCAAGGCCACAGCCCCCAATGTACATGGTTATGTACAGTGTATAAGCCAGTGGATAGCATATCTAAATCAGGCCCTCGCTTTTTAACTGTTCAACGTCCGCTCCTTCTCATCCGCGTCGCATGCTTCTTGTTCTTACAAGCTCCTTCTCTCATCCCTTCCTACAGCAACACCCGGACTCTCACTCCATGCTCGTCCCTCTTGGATTCTGGGTTATGGCCGTGACCGTTTCCGTTCCTGTTTCGTAACCCCGTTTTTCTCTCATCCACGTTGCTGTCGACCTTGATCGGCTAGACTCCGCTCGCTGCCGCCCTAAACCTCGATCCGTGGCCCTCGGAGCTCTTCCCGCACTTCATCGCACTCTCACACGAAGCCTGGATAGAGCTTGCTAATCCTCCTTCGCCTTGTACCCACTCGCTCTCGATTGTCACACAGACATCTTTCTTGCACCACCTACAGAACTCTAATAATTTCCGCCGTTGTCCAGTTCTTTAATAGTGGCTTGCCCCTCCACCATCATTGCATTCTCTGGACCTATACAGCTTTGTTAGATCAAGATACCCCATCTCCTTCTTCTCACAGAGTAGTCTCAAGCAAACTCGGGAAACTCACCTTAATCGACAATGTCTTCTTCTTCCAAACCTCGCCAACCCCGACTCCGGGCCTCTTGCGATGGATGCTTCTTGGCCAAGGTCAAGTGCTCCAAAGCAAGACCCATCTGCTCTAGATGCCTCGCATGCGGTCTCGAATGTCGCTACTCTCCCTCGAGCAGAGCCGGCAAGCCAAAGTCAGATAACACCGCACCTAGCCACGCAAATACCGTCCATATGGATATGACCGACCTATCTCCCATCATGGATGAAAAGAACCTCATGTTCGGCCAACATCCCGGCATGTACAAGATGGAGCCTGGCTGGCATACGCCCACCAGCATGGACTCGGGGGCCATGAGCAGAAATCCATCAATCTCTTCTGGGCTCGCCATGCTCGGCGTCGACGACACAACCCCAAGAGACCATCAAGATCCGGCTGCAGACATGTACGGAGGCGGCATGCCCTGGACACCACCCACCGACTTCTCCGCTGCTCCATATTCCGATATGACAATGTCCACCGCACATATGGCCACCCATCACGGCCGCTCCCAGTCCATGGACATGGCCATGGCAGCCCACATGACACCGTGGGGAGACCCAACGCAGCATGATATGATGGCGTATACTACCATGCCGAACCCAAGCAACATGGCCGCCGCCGCATACTTTCCGAGCCCCTCAACAACACCCAACATGCGACCAGCTGTTCGACACAAATCTTCATCGTCAGGAGGTGGAGGCTCTTGCACCTGCTTCACAGTGCTCTTGCAGTCCCTTCAGGCCCTGCACAACGCCTCATCTCCCCAGGCGCCACCATTCGACCTCGTCCTCTCTCTTAATCGCAAAGCTGTCGAGGGATGCGCCGCCATGCTCTCCTGCAACAGGTGCATGAGCCGCTCCGGCACTCACACGGCGGCGATGCTGCTGGCGACAGTCATTGGCAAGATTACAAGCTTTTACAAGAACGCCACGCACACCTACTTTGAGAACGGCATGGTGCCCGCGGTCAACCAGCTCAGCCCCGGCGGCGGGCTCGGCGTCAGTCTCGGCGCCTACACACTGGGCGGCGAGGACGGCAGG